GGGAGGGGCCCGGGACGCAGGCCACTCGGGAACCTGCGACCTGCCTGCCCTCCTGGCAGGGGTGGTGGCTGAGGGTTCCTCCCGGAAGATAGTGCAGAGGTGTGGGCCAGGCCCCTGGGCCACTGAGGTCTGGAAACCTCGGCTCGGGGCTCCTCACGAGGGTGCCAGGGCTGCAGGGCTGCGCAGGCCTGTGGTGGCCCAGGAGCCAAGCCGGCGTGGGGTTCACTGGGGAGGGCAGGTGCTGCTGGATGACTGTCACCCACTCTGTGTGGACGGAACGTGTTGGAGACGTCGGGAGCCAGCCCTCACTGGTGCGGTGCGGAGACTAGTTAACCCACGCTGGTTCTTCCAGAGGGTCTTGTTGTTTTGTCCATCGTAGCAGATTTCATTTCCTGGACAGAATCACTTCTTTCCTCACTCCTGACTCCCAGCAGCCCTTTGAGCTCCTTTGTCCACCCTGTCCTTGCCCCGTCTTCTGTCTTAGCTGTGGGAAAACCTTCCTGCCCCCCCGGGGATTTCAGCCTATGTCTCACCCTGTGTGTGTCAAGCCCCCCGTGGTATCTCAGGAGCAAATCCTGACCCTTTTATTTTCCTCAATCTGCCCTCGTCTCGCAAAGACGTTGAGATGTTCACGCCCTGTGGTGCTTGGCAGGGAAGCTCCTGCCTGAGTCAAGTCGGTGTCGTTGGGTCTGTCAGGCGTGTGCCCCGGCGGTGACGTCTGTCCTCTGCTCGCAGAACTCCAGGCCCATGTTAGTCAGCGCAGTGGAGGAATGCGAGTACACCTTCTCCTGGCCCACGGCAGCCGCGTGTCCCGTGAGGAGCAACGTGCACGGCGACTGCCAAGTCACCAACCCCGCCACAGGTGAGGGACCCCGCCGGACACACTGCGCACACACACAAGCTGGTCACACCACACACACACTGCCAGTCACACTGCACACACAGCACACGGTGAGAGGCCGAGTGTGAGTCTGGGGAACGCGGCACCCCGAGGCAGCAGCATCCTGTCCTGTCGGTGTGTGTGTTGGGTCTGCCCAGTGCTGTTGACTCGAGTTCTCCTTCAGTGGAGAAGAGACTGATCCTCTGCCTGAAAGCCAGTCTCCCTGTAACTCCTGTTTCTGGGGTGCCGGTCACGAGCTCTAGGCCATCTCCTGTTACCTTTCAGAGTTAACAGGGGCCACCAGGAGGCCTCCACCGAGTCTCTGTGCTGGGGACTGGAAAGGTGCAGGTTTATTGGCTGTGGGAGGAGTAGGGTCCTCCCGATCCCACCAGAGTCCTGGTGACCACTGTGGCCCTGCCCCAGGAGGAGGAGGAGGAGGATGCCGTGAGCCCCTGTCTCCTGGGGAAAGATGGGCCATTTCATAAATTTGGGAACTGACGGCCTTGTGGTACTTCTTAGCTAGTAGGGAAGGGCTTTATGGCCGTGTCAGTGAAGGGGGCAGTGACTTGTGATGAGAAGTCAGGAGGCTGGATGGCTGGTGGAATCCATGGTGATGGGCCTCCAAGCATCCCCATCTGTCCCATCGCCCCCGCAGGACACCTGTTTGACCTGAGCTCTCTGAGCGGCAGAAGCGGATACACCGCCGCTTACAGCGAGAAGGGGCTGGTCTACATCAGTGTGTGCGGGGAGAACGAGAACTGCGCCCCCGGCGTGGGTGAGTGCACCCACCCGCCTGCCTGTCGCGTGGCCCTCCTGTCCCCCCCCAGGGTCGGCCTGCCCTCCGCACTCCTCTAGCGAAGAGAAGATGAGACGCCTTCACCTGCAGCAGGCGGCTAGTGGGGGGTATTTCGGGCCGTGTGATGAAATACGAGATGTGTAACATCTGCTAAAACCACATAGGGTGCTCAAAATTACAAGCAACAGCTCTGAATGTCAAAGTCTGGATTTGCAGAAAGTTCTCATCAGAAAATGAGACGTTCAGGACCCTCATCGTGTGTTTTTCCCTCCCCTTTTCGCGTCTGGGACAGGGGCCTGCTTTGGGCAGACCAGGATCAGTGTGGGCAAGGCCAGCAAGAGGCTGGCCTACGTGGACCAGGTCTTACAGCTGGTGTACGAGGACGGGTCCCCGTGTCCCTCCAAAACCGGCCTGAGCTACAAGAGCGTCATCAGCTTCGTGTGCCGCCCCGAGACTGGGCCCACCAACCGGCCGGTGCTCATCTCCCTGGACAAGCAAACGTGCACCCTCTTCTTCTCCTGGCACACGCCCCTGGCCTGCGAGCAGCCGGTGAGTCTGGGCCCGTGTGGCCTCTGACGAGTGCCCAGCTGTGCCAGTCTCCCTCTCCAGTTCTCCTATGAGTTACATGCCCCCCCCCCGGCCCTGCCTCATCCCCTCCTGAGCCCGAGATAATGGGTTCAAGGTCCCTGATGTTCATGTCACCAAGCAGTAGGGGGCACCGATCTGCTCTGTGTGCTTTTTTTGGTTTGGCTTAAATTCTCGGGGGTGACTTCATGGTGGCGAGGACATCCTGCTGTGGACGCCAGCGAGGTGCGTTTCCTCTCTGACAGACGGAGTGCTCTGTGAAGAACGGCAGCTCCATCATCGACCTGTCGCCCCTCATCCACCGCACTGGTGGGTACGAGGCCTATGATGAGAGTGAGGACGAGTACTCTGACGCCAGCCCTGATTTCTACATCAACATCTGCCAGCCGCTGAACCCCATGCACGGCGTGCCCTGCCCTGCCGGAGCCGCTGTGTGCAAAGTGCCTGTCGACGGCGCCCCCATAGTGAGTGTGGGGGTCCCAGGGCGGAGGCGGTTCTGCAAGTGGAGGCTGACTTGGGAAGACGGAGTGGGGAACTGAGCTGGGGCTCCGTGTCTGGGTCCCGCGGGGGGAGGGTCAGTGTCAGGATTTGGCAGCAGAAGGCCTTTGAGTCATGGAAACACGTGTGAACACACACGTGTAGACACTCTTGTGTGTGGTGTTAGACGCCTCAGGGACGTTGACGGGGCTTGGTTTCTTTGTTTAAATGCAGGTCTTGGGCCATTAAAACACTTGGAAAATGCAAGCATGTTCTTTGGCAAATGAGTCATAGTGCAGGGCACCAGCTGGTTCGCTGACAGCTGCGGACTCTGCCTTGACAATCTTGGTTTCATAAGCGCATTTCTCAGTGTAGATTGGGATCTTTAAAAATTGTCTTCATGAGTCACAGTCACGTTTTGTGAAACGCTCGGTGTGTTTTATTTGAAATGCATCTCAAAAGTGGGCTATTTCTGTCTGCATTCTTTAAACGGTGAGTCTTGTCACGAGGTACGTAGGTGTCCTTTAAAAGGCATTGTCTGTGGCGCTGGTGGGAGAAACGCTGGGAGTGGGTGGGGAGGCTGGTCATGATGGGACTTTGACAAAGGCTTAGCTACGTGACAAGCGCGGGGTCCAGAGAAGTGCCGTGGCGTCACCCCTGCTAACAGCGCAGGTGGGGGGCCTGCTGTGACTCACTTTCCGAGAGGTCCCGTCTGCTGTGTTTTCCTGCCTGGCTCCCTTTTTGCAGGTTAAAAAAAAAAGCAGTAAGTTCTCTAACTGAAGAGGATGTTGTGTCATTGTGGTCCGAACATGCCCCACAGCTGTGAACGAACCATGCCGTGTGGCTTCCCACACACACACACACACACACTCACACTCCTCACACACGCTGTTCCTGGCCAGTCAGCTTTCTTCCATTCATGTTTATTTGCTCTCAGGTGCTCCCTGAGCAGCCTGGGTGTGCAGGTGCTGTGCGAAGCCACAGAAGGTGGTGGGGGGTAAATGAGTGTGTGTGTCCTGAGGATGCACCGGGTCATTGGCCAGGGAACAGCAGTCCCCATGCAGTGTTGGGCAGCGGGGAGACGGGACAGCATCAGGGCAGCTACGTGGGCTCCTGGAGGAGACGTCTCCTCCAGGAGACGGTGCAGCATTCCTGATGTGACCCGAGAGAGGGATCCCTGTTCCCTAGAATCTTCCAAAATCGGCCATGAGTAGAAACAGAACTGTTGTTACTAACATAGGCTCAAAACTGATAACCACGGGCAAACTGAAGTTTCTTTGTTGCACTGCACTGTCAGGATTTGTCAAAGGTGCTGCTCTTAACCCAGTTTCTTTAGATACTACCATTCTGCAAAACCAGTAACATAATTTTTACAATTTTTTATTAGTCTTTATTCCCTTAACCTGGGG